AGGCTTCAAAGATGCATGTTATACACTTGGCCAAGGTTTAAGATGAGAGAAGCCTAGGAAGAGAGTAAGTGAAAGGAAATATTAAGCCAAAAAATGGCCAAATATTTACTCAATAGCAGCGGTGATCCTGTTTTAGACAAGTAATGCAAAGACACAGTTATCTTCTTTGATGGCTGTGAAACACACTCCCTCAGGTCTGTTCTGAGATGCTGCACAAAGTCTAGGGCTTGTGCCGCAGACAGATGGCCCTTTCGCTAGTTTTCATGTTGTTAATATGTTGACAGTAAAGCCCTAGTGGATGAAATGCACATGCCTCCAAAACCAGCACTTCTGCTTCCTCTTTTAACTTCACTGCATTGAATAATCATCTCAGTAGTGTACAACATGCGCTTTCCCACACCCTTCTCTCTCAAATATACTGCCATACACTTTGCACCATTAAATACTCTTGGGACATTTTTCAGCACTAGAGGTAACCCACATAGGACTGAAAGCACAGCCTGCTACTAACCCAATGGAGGTATTTTCTATTTGATTGACACATTTGGATGTGAATGCAAGGCACATCTGCAGACACTACCCAGTTCCTTAGTTTTGTTACATGCAAAACTTGCTGCAAAATCTGAATAATGCAATGGGTTGTCACTGATTAATGTGGGAAGTTGTTACACTTAATGGTGAGACCCGTAAAAATAAGTCCTCGTTATGGCTGTTCCAATGGATGGCTTGGATGTATAGATTGCAATGAAATGGAGCATTCTTGGAAGCGACAGTTTTAAAAAGAATTTATTCCGAGTAAACAGATAATATGGTAACTTAAGTCTATGGCAATTGTAACCTCAAGGCATCCATGCTGTATTAAGTATATGTCCAAGTATTTCCACATCTAAAAACAATGGAGGAAATGTGTTGGCCTACAATGACCTTATGAATGGAAATGGTCCTGTTAACTCTAGCAATTAACTACCTTTTTGCTGTTGCTTCAGTTTTTGGGAATGGTGAAAGTCTAGTGAATCCCTAAATGTCTAGCAAGTACCGAGTATTTCAGATTTCATCAACTGGAGTAAGAGGTAGCTTAAAATATGATGGGCAATTGTGAAAAACGTTGGCTTGAGACAGTTCTTTACAAAACCATAATCTGAGCCTTCTCTCTCCTTAGTCACCTTGGTACACTTCAGCTTTAAAGGAAAGGAGCACTCTGCTGTGTGTCATTTACTTCTTGGGGTTTGGAAACAGCAAATTGAGGAAGACCATGCAGAGCTAGTTATTTTGGCATTCCTGCAGGCTTTTTCTGTTCTAAAGTCAGACTTTTTAAACCCAGGCAGAGATGTCCATCTCTTAGCACCCTGAGTTGAGAGGGGCAATGGTTTTTGTACTTGCTTTATGAACCAGCTCTCTTTGTTTGTGGGATTTGTAGAGTTGAACTCTATCTACTGACTTCATGTGTCTAGGTGCAACACTACCAAGATGTCTGCAAGGGCCACCGTCCGTACTTTCAGCCAATTCAGAGCTGGAATTTTTACAATAGAGCAACTTAAGCCAAAGTGTGAATGACACACTCTTTAATTACAAAGGACTGAATTCTTAACTGCTCTGCCGATGCACAAGGCCGCAAACACAATACCCTTCTGCTGAGTTGGGGGCAAAAATGTGGAAAACTACGCACGGGGACTCCACACCCTTACAATTGCCACAGAATTCACTTTTGCAGCAATCTTTCACAGGGAAATATGATTGGGGGTAGATGTGTCACCCACAATGGGGTCAAGACCAGTGGGTAAAAAACACAGATTGCATCCTCATGGCTCAGACCTTGCTAAATGCTGCTAGTGTCCCATACACCTTGTTGCAGTTGGCTGTGGGTTGTCTACATGTGCCCAGGTCCTATAACAAGTCATGACTGAAGATTCCTTCTCAGCGTCCCGCCTTGTTTCAACTCTATTTTGAGTGAACTAAGTCCTTTTCTTTGGGTTTTGCTAGCTTGCAAGACTGTGTCCCATGGGAGTTTACTCCTGCCAGGTGTGGTTAGCTCTGTGGGATGGTAAAACGATCCTGGTTTTGGGGTTGTTCTATCAAGCTTTAAACAAAGGTAATAGATTCACAGATTATAAAGTCTGTGGGGACCACTGAGATAATCTCATCTCTGCTCCTTCCTAACAAAGGCCATAGATCTTCCCTGAATTAATTTCTGTTTGAACTAGAGCATCTTATTTACAAAAAACATCCAATCCCGATTTAAAAGTTTCCAGTGATGGAAAATCCAGCACAGACCTTGGTAAATTGTTCCAATGGATAATTACTCTCACTGTTGAAAATTTGTGCCTTAATTCTAATCTGAATCTGTCTAGCTTCAACTTCCAGCCATTGGATCTTGTTATATCTTTGACAATTTAAAGAGTGCCATTTTAATTATGTATCATTCTAATTTCTTACTCAAAATGTTATGTGATGCCAAGTCAAACACCTTACAGAAGTCTATTGCATCAACACTATTACTGTTATCAGCCAAATTTGCAATCTCATCAGAAAAGGTATCTAGTTAATTTGACAAGATCTATTTGTAATAAAACCATGCTGATTGGCATTAATTATATTACCCTCCTTTAATTCTTTATTAATCAAGTCCTGTATCCATTATTTTCTGGAATCAATGTCAGGCAGGTAGGTTTATAATTACCTGGATCACCCTGCTTACTCTTTAAAATGTTAGCTATCTTTTAGTCTTCTGGAACTTCCACAGTGTTCCAAAATTTATTGAAAATCAACATAAATGGTTGAGATAGCTCCTTGGCCAGCTCTTTTAATACTCTTGGTTGCAAGTCACCCAGTTCTGCTAAGTTAAAAATGTCTAGCTTTAGTAGCTGCAGTTTAACATCACCCTTAATTGCTGTTGGAAAGGAAATTATTTCATCATCATCTGATATGAATATATTACAAATATGTTTCGAACACTTCCATCTTTTATGCTTTATTATTGACAATTCTACCATTTCCATCTAATAATGGACCAATAACATTGTTAGTATTCATTTTGTTCCTAATATTCTTAAAAAACTTCTTCTTTTTGTCCTGAATTCTGCTGGGCATAATTTTGTTCTTTTGTCCTTTTGCTTCCCTTATCAATTTCCTACAATTTTCTGATTTACACATTCATTACTATCAACTTCCACTTCCTTGTTTACAGTGTTTTATTTTTTCACTTCCCCTCTAAGCCAGATTAATTTTTTTAACCACTGTGGTCTTCTCTCTTGATTGTGACTTTTTGGGCGTCAAGAACATTTTAACACTTCCCAATTATCATTCACGTTTTCTGTTTAAATTTTTTCTCCCAAATGTTTTGGCTCATAATTATTTTCAACTTTGTGATATAAGCTCTTTTAAAGCACCAAGTATATATATATTTTACTGGTTTGGACTTTATTCTGTTTATAGATAACAAATGTGACCAATAATTTAAACATTTCCTTTGTAGAAGGTTCTGATAATTAAAGTCTGAAATCCTAGATTGAGCAATGACAGAACAAACTACAGGAATAAATGTTGACGTGTCATACTATCAGCAGATTTATCAATTCATCTTAAAACAGATGACTTGCACCTTACATCTATCATTAGGCAGACCGCTTTGTACCATCTGAGAACTACTGCCAAGCTTGTGAGTGCTGCTCAATATGAATGACATAGGGCTGATGACTAATGCTCATATTTTATCTAGATTGGATTATTGCAGTTGCCTATTTTCTGGGGTCCCTCCCCACCCTCAAGGACAGTTTATCCAAAGTGTAGCAGATTTCCTAACAGGTACATGTTTGTCACAATACAGCACTCCAATCTAGAAATCTTTACATTGGCTCCAAGTAAAATTGTGCACCAATTTTAAAGTTCTTCATTTAACTTTTAAGTCTGCTGGGGGGTAGCCCTAATTAGCCTGACTGACCTTTAACTGCCTTATGTCCCCATACCATTTCATACGAGGATTGAAACTCCTTGAAAACAACATACCCCATTCTGTTTGTGATGCTGAAAAACATGGCAAATGCTGTGCCTAAGTGGACATGTACGACAGTTAGGAGGGAGGGAAGGAAGGAGTGTTCGGGGGTTTGGGTGAATACTATCCATAAGCTTTAGAAAAGCATGAACCTAAAGCTTTCAAGACACTAGGAATGTGGATTTTCTATCAATATTGTTTCTCATTGCAAAATTTCCCCCGGACATATTTCACAGCAAAGCTAAGACGACAGCACCTGGTTTGTGTATCTACAGGTGCAGAGCTCCACCTGTTGTGTAAGGATACTGACAATCAAAATATATATCAAGGAACTGATCCTGTAAGGTGCTAAATGCCCTCATCATCCTGCAAAATTTGTTCCCTAATAAAGAAATTATATGAAACTCAATAAGAGATATTAAGTTACAGGTTAGAAACCATCCATTTTTTCTGTATGGAAACTGGTGGTTAAATGGCCTGGAAAGTTGGCTGGGGAGGGGGAATTTCTAATCAGATGGCACTGCTTCAAGGCATGGTTTTGGGACTCCTTCTATGGTACTTTAATGTAGACCTATCCCAATGTCAGAACAACTGGGAGTACCAAATCCTGCCAATTTGAAATAGTCTGGCTGACAAAAGTGGAGAGACTGAACATTTCAACAATATTCCACCCCACACCCACAGGAGAACTTAAGGTTAAATGCCTTCAGCAACTATCCATTTCTTCCATATATATGCTATCTCTCTCTGTAACACACACATGCACGCACGCACTCGTTTTTAAAAATTAGCCTAAGGGGTTTCTTCTTTTATCTGTTCCAGATCATTTTACAGTGGCATCCAATTATTTTTAACAATGCTGCAAGATCACAAATATTTAATTAGCGTTGTTCTTTCTACACTGCTAGTGTGAGTCTTTCAGCTCATTCCCCCAACCACACACCAGAGTGAAGATAAGCATATGTATAAGACGGATACATTTAACATTTAGCCAGAGACTACTGAGACTTACATATCCATAATGTCCTTTCTGGGAGCAGTTGTAGCAGTACACCAAAGCAGAATGCTCAGAATACGAACTGGACTTCTTGATTGATCCTGGTCTGGTCTGCAATGTGGAAAACAGGTGAGAATTAGGGCTGGTGAATTCCAAATGTTGAATTACAATTAAAATAATCTTAACAAAAAGCTGTCTAATCAACAGCGTTCCAGCTGCAAGCAAGAAGTTTGGAAAAAGGAGCAAGTTGCTCGTGTTACTGTAATATTACAGAGCAAATTAAACCTTGATCACCAAAATCAAATGGGACAGGAAACTTCAATGTCAATTCCATACAGCCATTTTATTTCGACTCTCAATACAGGAAAGTAGGCTGCTGATTTATCTCTCTCTTTTTTGCAGATGTCCCACTATCCTCAGGGAACAACCAGGGCCATCAGATATTACATCCACCAGCTGGATAGGAGCGTTTGTGTATTGCAAAACTAGTCCCTCCCAGCAGGACTCACTTAAGGCAATATGGGGAAGGTCTTCTGAGAGAGATACACAGTCTAAATCTACCACACTCATATTTCCTCTCACCCTACACCTCCCCTGCCCCCTCCCCTCAGTCACTGAACAAAATCTGCCAATGTCAATTTTCAAGTCAATCTAGTGGATCTGAATCTGCACCAAACACCAAATTAAATTATTGTGTTTAGCTGTTTGAAGTCAGAAAATTTTTTTAACGCAAAGAAAGATTTGGAACAATAAACTGAACTCAATGGGTCAGGCAGCTTTATTTTTTAAATCCAGAGCCAATAAATAATAACTTTGCTCAGAGTACCACCACATACATTTTGAAGGGCGTGCATGAGCACACATGTATATGTTCTAGGTTATAAACACACACTTATTCAATAGAAAACAATAAAAAACAAAACCTTTGTTTAATCAGAGTTGGCATCTCTGCCGAGGAAGGGGGATGGAATAAAGGTTCTATGAAAACCGGTCAAAACAGAATCCAATTAATTTAAAGCTCCACATATTTTCCTTTATTATTCATTCTAGTGGAACACAGGAAAATGTGTGCGATTTCAAAGAACTCACCAATATTTTTTTATTGCAAGGGATGCTTTTTGCTTTCAAACCTCTCATTGTGTTTACCTCCCACTAATACTTCTAGTGCCACTGTATATTCTTTCTTTACAGAGGAATTATAGTGATGCTTGTAAAATAGATAGAAACTACAGGATTATTGCTTGATCATCTTTTATGCATCTGACCACATTTTTGGTAGGACAGGACAAGCTTGTTTCACCACATTTTGAACCCACATGGCTTTAAAAGCGCGCTTCAGATTCATGTAACTCAGTTCACATTTCATTCACTATACACTGAATAAAGAATCAGAGAAGGGACATGTCCAATGAAAAACAGTATAAACATAGAGCAAAAATCAGAGAGAATGAAAACCAGTGTTTGTGACAAAAGGAGCACAAAGACAAAATCTCATATAAAACAACAAATATATAGTCTGTCGCTCTCTGTAGATAAGATATAGAGGTAGTAATAATGTGTTCAGGCCACTCACTTGTGCCAGTCTAGCTTTTTGGACATTCTTTCTACTACATAGAACAGGCTAAAAAACTCTCCCCAGATTTAATTTACAGGAAAAAAAAATTCATAAATTCGAACTGTTTTTGAATAGGAGGTGTGCAAAGCCTTCAACCTTAGTAGGTTTGGCCAGCTCCAGTTTTTGGATCCCCTGCCCTGCCACTCATGGGAAATAAAGTTCCATAGGTTCTAATACAGAGTTCCTTAGAAGTAGAAATAAATGATATAATCTGGATCCTTCACCCTCTGCCATCATACAGAATTTTATGTGTATGAAATCCGTTTTCTAGGCTTATGTCAATTGAAGCTCACGTTGTGATGCGACCAAGAAACTGCAACAGGTCACTATCTCTGGTTACTTCAGTCACCACTTGTCTACTAGAGAGAACTCTTCATCTAGAATATCTGTGGAGTGTATCTGTCAAGAGAAGATCAACTGCATTATATTACAAATGACTCTATATTTCTATTACCGGTAAGCCTTAAAAGGGTTATATTTCAATTGGAGAAATCTGATTAAATGGTCTTATTCTTATAGTTTGTGATGTATTTGGAATGTGAAATTGCAACTGTGACACATCAGAGAGACATATACGTTAATCTCAAAGTATCTGTTACAATGTTAGTGGGGTTTTACACCTTGAACTGTCAAATGGTGTTACATGGATTTAGACAATAAAACAATTTAGACTACTGTTGTTGTATGTATTTAAAAATCTCTATTAAAATTTACAGGAAGCTTAAAACAACATCACTTTCTTCTGAAAAAGAAAAATCAGGGTTTCTTCTCTCTTGAGATACGATTTGTTAAATAAACACCAGATTTAAGGATCAGAATGATACTGCTAGCATAGAATTTAGCATGTCTGCCAGTGATAATGCTAGTAATTTATATGACTAAATGAATAAATAAAAAGTACTTATAGACTCCTTCACTCTAATCCAGTAGTTAAATCTTAGAGTTCAAGATAAAAGTAATCCTCCCAGCTCATAAATTATGTGTGTACTTCTGTAGTTTGTGTCTTTTCTTCTATTTAAAGATGGGTCAACACTAGTACTTGAAGTTCTTAGCAGTTACAGCCTCTGACAGCTCTCCTCAGAAGTTCATGTACTGCTGACTTGACTGATAAACGTCTGGATGTTAATCTGAATAACACTTTGAGCTGAAAACTTTAATTACTATGATAAATGTTATCGGTATGCTATCTTTTAACCAACTATAGTACACCATGCTACTAAGAAAAGAGGATGGCACTCTGAATAGGTCTTACCTCATTAGAAAACAATTGTACATCAGAAATCAGTGACGGAAAGAGAGGGACGTTAAGCTTTTCTTATTGTACTGTACAAGGTCTAACAAGAATCCTTGAGAGTATTCACTGCATTAGGAATGTATGCTCATGTGACACGAAAAAAGCTCCACACAACATTCCCTTGTGTTTAGCAAATAGAAAAGGTCAGATTTAAGGAGACAAATTAAACCGAATACTTACAGTTCAGATTACAACTATACACATCTCTACGGCTTTCCAAAAGCCAAACACAAGGGGAACCTGTATGTTTTTAAGCCTTCTATTTTCTTATTATTTAAGGTTTAAAAAAGCATCTGAGGACTCCAATCCAATGGGTACAAAATAAAGCATTCGTGAAAGTAGCTCCTCTATGTTATTTTTTTTGTTACAAACATTTAAATAATCTATATTTGTAGGGTGATATCTAGGAGATTACTTCACTATCAATATATAGAAGTAATAACCTGGTAGATAGTATTACCTATGAAAGGTCCATCCCATCTGCTATTCTTGCTGAAAGCTTTTCATGCACCAGTAAACTCAGTAAATATCAGAAGATAAAGCATAAGCCTACCACGCCACGGATTTACTCCTAATGTCTCCTCAAAGTGCAGCCCGATGCAACGATTACAAATGATTTTTCTTCTAATGTCATTTTACATAACCCTTTTTTCTGCATGAGTAGTTAGTGCGGAATGAATGAATGAATGCCATTAAAACAGTTAATCATTATCTGGGACACTGGCCGTCCTCCCTTCTCAACCAGGAATCTCCATGACAAAGGCCAAGAGATCAAAATGCCAGGGCTGCCTCAGTGGCCTATTTCTGACAGTAATTTTTTATGCAAATTGGCCTGCTGGGCAGCTCCCTCTGTGACCTTGAGCTGCCCTTATCTAAACTGACTTTGATCCAATGAGGGTTTGCTTATATGAAGCTCATTACTACCTAGGATATGCAATCTGACTAAATCTCACTAATTAAAGAGAATCTTCTAGTCTCAGTTTTATATTAATGCGTGTGTGTGATTACACACACACAGACCAAACTACACTAGAATATGCTATGTGAATTGAACATTGCATTTTTGACAAGTATATTCATTTCACAGTCAAGCACATAATGTCACTTTTAAAGGAAAATACAGTGCTTAACCGCATACTCCATAACGCAAATTTATACAAACACACATATCCAACTTGAATAATGCATAGAACTGCGATGATTAAATAAAGTTTAGACCTGACACTTACAAAGTCCTTCCAAGCCACATTATTCTGTAATAAACTGCATGAAAACATAATTTAAGATATCGGATTCCCACTTGATTATCAGAGAGAACCCCATCCAAAGAACCAAGTCTACTATGATCCACAAATACCTAATGGAATGATTTTGACAGTTGAGTAAAATGTGAAAAGTTTCAACTGCCTATTAATAACTTTAGCTGAAACCAAGGTCACTGTCTTCTTACACAGATCAGTTTTTACCAGCCACCATTCTGCCTCTGTTTTAAGGCTAATGCCTGTTTTCCTGAGTACACCAAACAACACTGTAGGTAGAGTCCACTTTAGCACCCAACACACAAACTCTCTGGAAACTATCTATACAGCTTATCCTATATAACTGCCCACTGCAAGTTTTCTTGTACCACTGCTAAAGCATCTGGCACTGGCCTCTGCTGGTCAAAAAATACTGGGACTAGATGGGATGATCCGGTATGGCAATTGTTATGTTTCCATCTCACTGGCAGATTCCGTTTTCTGCTGCTATTCCTCACTTCATTCTACGGAGAGAGTATTTTCTCTCTCTAGTGCTCAACAATTAAACTGCTAATTAATCAGAAAAAAACCTTCATCTAGGCAACACAGATGATCCTGCAGTCCTTACTCAGGCAAACCTCCCATCGAAGTCAATGGGTGTGTTTTGCATGAGGGCTGCAGCTGTAGGCCCTAAATGTGTGACTCAAAAAGACAAGTAAGGAAATGTGAAACTGAGGGTGAAACTCATTTACATGAGTGCTGCTACGTCTGCTTTCTGAGACCAAGGCACGAGGGTCTGACTGTATCATTACATACTACAGATGTCACTACAGTTAGGCAAAACACAACAAGGGAAGTGACACAACAACTGCATTAATGTAAAAGCATATTTCATTTCTCTTTAAAAACAGATCATAATCTATTTATATTTTAGCAGAAGCAGTAGCAACTATAGGTCATTCCC